GTCCCTTTCGCTGGATTGATGTTCAGAGAACAGTCAAAAATACTGTAAAACTGTGAAATATTATTGCTAATTAAAATAACTATTTTTATTTTCATTTCGTTTTTAAATGAAATTTTTTCCTGTGATAAAAATACGATTTTATAAATCCTAAAAATACTTTTATAACTTTTTAAAAAATACTCTAAATTTGTAAAACATTATTGCTATTTAAGTTAACTCTTTCTATTTGCATTTGTTCTGCAAAGTAAATTATTGTTGTGATAAAAGATAATGTTTTTAAAGTCGCTTATGCTGGATTTGTTTATTCAAAAATTTTCAAAAATATATAGAAGCTATAATATAAAAGGAAGCTTGACAGTATTATATTTGTGCATATAAATTAGATTAGTCGGTACTGAAGGCAAATCTGGAGCTTATCTAATAAAATAACTCTCCTAATAATAATAATGATAACGCTCCAATTTTAGTACTCCCAAATTTACATTTAGAGAAAAATATTAAATAAAAAAAATTGTAAAAAGCTAAATTCAAGAAAAAACTAAAATATTATAAAATTTTTATGAAATTTTGTAGTTTGTAATTTCCCCCCAATTTTTTGCATGAAATTAAATATATAATCTTTCTATTTTTTAAGATCGTCAGTGGCTAAATTTTTATTTCAATGCACATATCTGTTTAATAGATCTGGTTTGTTCAAATGCACCAAAATATTTTACCTATGTTCACTGAGAAATTAATACAAATATTCATTTTCAAAATGTTGTTTACTCAATTATGCTGAGCACTGTGTGAAAGTATATATATATATATATATATATATATATATATATATATATATATATATATATATATATATATATATATATTTTTTTTTTTTTTTTTTATGAAAAACCTATTTCTTATTTATTTATTTTATAATTTTTAAGTAGCTTTTTCTGTTTTAATTAGTTTTGAATGTCATTTATTCCTGTGGTGAAAAGCTGAAATAGTTTGAGAGTATTTTGCTCACCAAGGCTGCATTTATTTGTTCAAAAAATGTTTATTTTTTATGTATAAAAAAAAAACTTAATTGATATTTAAATGAACTTTTTGCCTTTTTTTATATATTTTTTTTACATTTATTTTATATAAAAATATTGATATTTAAATGAACTACTTTCCTGTTTAAATAGTTTTTCTTTTTTTCTGTGAGCTATATC